CCCGCAGTAAAGATCTAGCAGCTAATTCATAATGTTAAAAAAGCACTTTTGTAAACATTTAAAAACGGTTCTTTGATCATCTTTGCTGCACATTTATTATGTCATAATGGTTACCAGATGTCCTCTTTTTAGAGGACGTGTCCTCTCTTTTTTTTGATGATAGATCAAGATGGGTAGCTGTGTTTGTCTGTAACAGTAGAAAAGAGCAAGGGTCCAGTAGCACCTTAGAGACTAACAAAATATGGGGCAGGGGAGAAGCTTTCCTGAGTCTCGGCTCACTTCTGTGCTGTATCTGGAGAAGTGAGCAGTGACTCATAAAAGCTCATACCTGGCCATATATTTTGTTAGTCTGTTTTTAGTGTTTTGGACTCTTTTTTTAAAAAAAACTGATGAAAATGTCCTCTTTTGGGATTGGAAGGTTAGGAATATTCACATCTTAAATAGTAGGGGTATTTAAAATGAGATTTGTCATAGTGATCACTTGTTTGAAGTAGCTGGGAAATATGTCCTCTTTTTTGCTTTTCAAAATATGGTAACCCTACATGAATACCTGCATTTCTTGAAGAGGCAGTGGAGCAGAGCAGAGAGAGCTGATATGGTTCGAAAGAGATCTTGGGGTTGTAGGGGAAACTGGATGAAAATGTTTTCTCAGTGTGCAGCAGTGGTGAAAAAGGCAAACTCCATGCTAGGAATTATTAGGAAAGGGACTGAAAATAAAATGGCCAATATTGTAATGCCCTGTTATAAAGCTATGGTGTGGCGTCATTTGGAATGCTGTGTCAGTTCTGGTGTATTTCAAAAAGGATACTGCTGAGTTGGAAAACATACAAAAGAGGGCAACCAAAATGATTAGGGGTTTTTTGGAGCAGCTTTCCTTTGAGGAAATGCTGGAGAGTCTCAGACTTTTCAGTCTAGAAAAAAGCCTTCTCATGGGAGATATGGGAGAGCAGGGGCACCATGGTGCCCACCCACACTTTTAGAAAGTGGGCACGGATTGGTGAGGCTTTCACCTAGCAGGGCTTCTGATTGGCTGTGAGATTACAAGGTACCCTGTTAGACAGAGCTTCTACCTGAAATGTTGAAAAGTTGCTGTTAGACTTATATATGACCTGACTTTTTGTGGTTGGCTCTGCCTCCTGCAGCAGCCATCTTGTGATTAGTGCCACCTACTTTGTTGCAGCCATTTTGTAATTGTGCCTTCCATCCTGTATCAGAAAGGTGCCCATAGGCTCAAAAAGATTTGGGACCCTTTTGATAGAGGTTTACAAAATGATGCACGGGGTGGAGAAATTGAAGCTTTTTTTCTTATTTCCCATAGAACTAGAACTTGGGTGCACTCAGTGAAATCATTGGGAAAGGTTCCGAACAAATAATAATAAATACTTCTTTACTCAATAAGTAATTAAACTGCAAAATTAATTTCCAGTGGAGGCAGTGATCGCTGTGAGCATACTTTAAAAGGGGGCTGGACAGATTCATGGTGGAGAGGTCTATCAGAGGTGGCTTTAAAAGGGGGCTGGACAGATTCATGGCGGAGAGGTCTATCAGCGGCTGCTAGTCATGCTGACCGAAGGGAGCTTCTGTCTACCAGTGCTGGGAGGCAGCAGCAGGGGAGGGCTTTGGCCTCTATGCCCCATCTGGTCAGCCCTCCAAGGCAATGGGTTGGCCACTGTGTGGGAAAGTATGCTGAACTAGATGAACCAGTGGGCTGATCCTGCAGGCTCTACTTACATTCTTACAGTTGCATCAGTTCATACCAACGCTTTGCTGGTGCTAGAGTGCTTGTTTACCCAAAAGTAAATCTCATTGTATTCCATGGGGCTTACTCCCAGGTAAGTGTCCTTAAGATTACAGCATGCGCTTCTGCACAGTCACAGTTGAAAGATGACATTTCCTTCCTGTGACAGCTCCTTGTGCTTCATGAGGTGTCACCCCAGAGGACCTCTTGATTTTAGGAGGAGATTAGGTGGCACACAAGTCTGTTGATGGTCTGGAGAAACTTCAAAAGCTGTCAATGTGTGAGTGGCACACCCTGCATGCCAGTGCAGATCCCAGCCTTTGTAGAGATGAGTCTTGAATTCAGTCCTCTCAACCTTTCCAGTTCAACTATCTGTCTACCCAGGCTTCACAAAAGCTACGAAGGCCTTAATCTGGAAAAATCAGATGTGGGACACTTTATTGAATTTCTCCTTTGACTCCTCAAGCAGTTCTAAGTTTCAATCAGATTAACCACACAAAATATTTAAAAGATCAAAACATACTTTGAACCACCAATCAAGGAAGTCTGCAGTAAAAAATCAAAGCAATTAATAAATTAAAGCATTAATTTAATTAAACCAAAGCAATTAAAACATTTTAGCATATGTCTCCGAGTTTGTTGGAACAAAACAAAAAAACATTGTACTGCTTTTTAAGAACCTGCAGGTTGTGGCTTTGGTGGGCCACTCCTGGGATACAGTTCTACAAAACGGGTCACAAATCTTTTTTTGTTTGTTTCCTTTTGAAATGTATACATGTACACTTGTAATATTCCTAATTCACATCATATATTTTTGTATCCACAGATATGTGAATGATTTATCATGAGCCAAACCCAGAAATACTATGTGTGTGGTTTGGCCCTGAGTTTGAATTAGGCTTCCCATTTATCCAGCCCCAACTTCCCACTCCTGAAGAACTGAGAAGTGGGAGAGAAAAAATGACCTTCACGGAGTAATGCTCTAGGAATTTCCCTTATGGTCTTTACCATAGAGACTACCGGAGGCAACACAGAGCATCATCTGGAAGGGACATCACATCCTCCTGAACCTCCAGTCTTCCCAGACACCATTCCCCCAAATCTCTCAGCATTTGCTAAGGCAGTGTTGAGAACCCTTTTTTAAATTAGGGCTCCCAAAAGACCTGGAGGGGGAAATGTCCTGCCCTTTTAATAGAGGGTTAATGTGTAATAATGGGCAGATGAAGCTTTTCATGGCATGGAGATAATACCACCTAGTAAATAATTTCCCATTAAGCCTCTGTTAAGAGGGCAGGACATTTTTCCTCTCCAGGTTGTTGGCCACTTCAGTTTGATTGGCTTTTGGCATATAGTCCTGGTGAGCGCAGATAAACATTAGGAGCAGAGGTCCATTGGTGGCTATTAGCCATAAGGTGTATAGATAGGAACTCTTGGTCAGGGGCAAGGGATGCTCTGTATTCTTGGTGCTGGGGGGGGCAACAGTGGGAGAGCTTCTAGTCTCCTGGCCCCACTGCTGGACCTCCTGATGGCACCTGGTATTTTTTGGCCACTGTGTGACAGAGTGTTGCACTGGATGGGCCATTGGCCTGATCCAACATTGGCTTCTCTTATGTTCTTAGTTAACAGTATACGATAGTAGAATGAATTATCTGACTTGAGTCTGCCGGCATGGGAATGCCATTGTTTAATATCCTTTCTTTTTAAAAATAAGTATATTAAGAAGAAACATTTTTATCCCCCGTTTGCTGTTTTCTATGTTAGTTTTTATTTTGTATGTATGTTCGCACAGGGAAGCACTGAAAAAATATGGTTTTCCCACCATTATTCTGAAAGTGATATAGTGAATTCCGTTACATAATTCTGTGGCACATATAGACCAAGGATTAAAAAACATATAAGAGCCCAATTACACCTCATTCAAAAATATATGAGGTGTAATTGGGCCCTTATAGGTTTTTTAGTTCTTTGCTAATAAATACATGTATTTTCATATTATATATATTAATTGTTGGCCCTCTACTCTGTTTGACTTACCTCTTGAGGTTCTTGATCCCAGGTTTCAGGGTTAAGTTTGTAACCCTTTTTTGTCCCTAACATATAGACCAAGCCCATTGTTGCTTTCTTTCTGTACTCTACAGGTCCATGGATGGCAGAATCACAGCACAGGCTTTCAGCTTTGATCAGAATTTCAAGGGCTATCAACAGGAAGATTTTCTTATGGTAGTTATGCAAATATTATTTCTTTACTAGTATGCCAATTGTGTACCCTGACCTGGATGGCCAAGGCAAGCCTGATACCGTCCAGTCTCAGAAACTAAGCAGGGTCAGCCCCGGTTAGTTCTTGGATGGGGGACCAACAAGGATGTCCAGGGTTGCTTAGCAAAAACAGGCAATGGCAAGCCACCTACACCTCTCTTGCCTTGGAAACCCTACAGGGTCACTGTAAGTCGGCTGTGACTTGACGACACTTTCCACCACCACATGACAATTGTGTACGTTTCATATACAGGAGCGCTTCTGCTAGTCATTCCCATGGTGGAAAACTGTAGCATGGGAAGATTTATTTCCCACTGTACTTCCAAGTCAGGCCTGGGTTTGCTGAGGAGCAGCTGTGCAGAGCTTTCCGATTTATGCATCGACATGGGTATAAGTTCTCCTCAATTTACACTCTCCATCATTGGAATGCCTTGCAAGGGTAGCTCCATGAATGAAAACCTTAATATAGGAAGCAGTTCTGGATTTTAGACTTTTGGAGGGGGAAAGGGCTGGAGTCACTTTCTTATTTTGTTGTTCTTGTTCAGTCGCACAGTCGAGTCCGACTTTTCACAACCCCATGGACCACATCATGCCAGGCCCTTCTGTCTTCTGTCATCCTCCGGAGTTTGCTCAACTTCATGTTTGTTTCATCGATAACACTGTCTAACCATCTGATCCTTTGCCATTCCCTTCTTCTTTTACCTTCAGTCTTTCCCAGCATCAGGGTCTTCTCCAGTGAATGCTCCCTTCTCATTTGGTGGCCAAAGTACCTTCTTGACACATCTATAAAACTTCATTTAGTAACAGTCTGTTCAATTGATTAATTGTGATTTGCTTTGCACTTCTAGGACTTTTTTAATCACCCAGATGTTAACAGCAATTTGAAAATGCTTTCAGCCTCTGGACAATGGACCACTTTAAGTAAGTAGCGAATATTTGAGAGGAGCATCTCTTCTCCTTTTGAGGTGATCATTTTCTCCTCTGCAACTGCTCCCAGTTCGTAATAGCAGTATGTTCATATTTACATCTTCTCAATAATTGCAAAATAGAAAACGTTACCCCCAACCAGTAAGAGGCATTAACATGTTTGGATTCTCAGTTGTTCAGGATGCATTGTCTGTGTTTGACACTTAGGTTTATTTTAATGATTCATGCTATAGATTTTGGTACTACATCAGAAAATAGTAGTTGTTCCAGATTTTCCGGGCTGTATGGCTGTGGTCTTGGCATAGAACCTGACATTTCGCTAGCAGCTGTGACTGGCATCCTCAGAGGTATCATGCAGAAAGATGGAGTACTCTGTGTGTCAAGGTGCCTGTGTTTTCTTTTTTTAAAAAACTGTGGTATGAATCAAATCTGCTTGTAGTACTAACATAGCATTTCAGTATTGGTTGTTTACTTTAAAAAAGGACTAGAGTTGGACAGGCTATCAAGAGGTATTAGCCAAAATGGCTAAAAGAAATCTCCCAGAGGAAATGTTGAGCGTCATTTTCTTCTGCATGCGAAGGAGATGACATAAGAACATAAGAAGAGCCCTGCTGGCTCAGACCAGTGGTCCATCTAGCCCAGCATCCTGTCTCACACAGTGGCCAAACAGTTCCTCTGGAGGGCCAACAACAGGGCTTAGAGGTGAAGGCCTTCCCCTGATGTTGCCTCCTGGCTCTGGAATTCAGAGATTTAGTGCCCCTGAATGTGGAGGTTCCCCTCAGGCACCATGGTTAGTACCAGTGGTAGACATCCTCCAGAAATTTATCTAACCCCCTTTTAAATCTGTTTATTCCTGTGGTCCTCACTGCAGCCTCTGGCAGCAAATCCCACATTTTAATCACCCTCTGTGTAAAGAAGTATTTTCTTTTGTCCGTCTTGAATTGGATGCCCTCAAGTTCTAGTATCTTGGGAGAGGGAGAATTTTTTTTTTGTCAACTCTCTCTACTCCATGCATAATTTTATAAACCTTTCTCATGTCACACCTTGGTCATCTCTTTTCTAAACTGAAAAGTCCCAGAACTCTTCAGGCTTTCCTCATAGGGAAGGTGCTCCAACCCCCTCATCATCCTGGTTGCCCCCTGCTCTGTACTTTCTCCAGCTCTGTAATGTCCTTTTGGAGATCCTGTGACCAGAACTGGACGCAGTATTCGAAATGAGGCCTCACCATAGATCTGTATCTATGCTGTATTCATGTCCCATGGGTGGGCTTCCCAGAGGCATCTGGTCGATCACTCTGAGAAATGGGAACAGATGTGATCTTCTTGTGACCTGGAAGGGCTCTTCTTTATCTTTGGAGTCTCTACAAAGCTGGTTGGAAGGGCTTCCAGAGCTGGTCTCCAGCAGAGTCCTAGCCCCATTGCCAGGGCTGCTGATTAGATAAAAGGAAGAGCCTGGCCTGTGCTTGACAAGTGTCGCTTGTGACTTTAGCAGCAGCATGATCAGCAGAAGCCAGTAGGTGTAGCATTTCATAGTCTGGCAATAAGGACTGTAATCTGCATAGAGCAAGTGATGTTACGGGTGCAGGAAGAGAAGCCAGTAAAAAAAAAAGGTCAGCTTTACCCACTACATTTGCAGTCAGCTTTTCACTCTTGTACATGCTCAAACATACACACATTTTGTCTTCAGAGGTGTTTGTGATTGTTTAAATGGGGTCTTTTGCCGTTGGTTTGGCTCCATATGAAGCCCTTTGTTTAACATCTTTTATATTGTTTTCTTTTAATCATTGACTTGGTACTACTGAAAAAAGTATTCTGTTCTGGCTATTTATCAGATAACCATTTATAATGGGAATGTGAAGAAAAGAATGTTTGTCCTGTTTGTTCATTTATTTATTGCGGGTTGTTTATTTATTTATATTCCATTGTGTGACCATAAGGTCCTCAAAGCAGTTTAGACCATTTTTAAAACACCAATGGCATTTATTTATTTATTTAATTTATATTTTGATTTCTAGGCCGCCCTCCCCGCGAACGGGCTCAGGGTGGCTAACATCCAGGCACGCATGCCAAATAAAAACAAGATAAAACACATAAATTACAAAAATTACAAATAAAGTGCTTCAAGATGGTTGCAGGTGGTAGTCTTCAGTTTAAAGATGGTATCCAAAGGATATTCAGTCAGATCCCAGCTCAGTGGTATTCGCACGCCATAGTGCTGCAGTTCGATCATCACAGGGCCGTTCCCATACCCTGCTGTTTCCAACTCGATGGTGGTGGTGGTAGGTTTCCAACTCGAAAGCCTGGCGGAAGAGCTCCGTCTTGCAGGCCCTGCGGAACTGTACAAGGTCTCGCAGGGCCCTCCTCCGGGAGCTCATTCCACCAGGTAGGAGCTGCCACCGAAAAGGCCCTGGCCCTGGTAACAGCAAGCCTGGCTTCCTTAGGGCCTGGAGTCACCAGCAGATGTTGCGTCCCTGACTGTAGTGCCCTTTGCATTCTGCCGTGCACTTTCCCCCAATAGCATAGCATTTCTGTTCGTGAAAGAAGGGGTGGTGATTTGTGCTAAATTCCCTATCCCATTGTGGACCTCCACTGTGCCCCCCTTTCTTTTCTTGAGGGTGCACCGAGACCCAGGGGGGAAAAACTTCTGGCAAAAGTTTTCTGTCCCCTCACCATGGCTGTGGAAATTCTAGGCAGGATCCAAGCCACTATTTCCTTCTTCCCACCTGTCCCCCATTATAGCCTAACCCTCCCTAAAGGAGCTCAGAGCAGTGTTTAACCTATGCCTTAGATAAGGCTGAATGGTACTGACTTATCCAAGATTACCCAATGAGTGGAGCTGAACACTATGGAGAGCACAGGGATGCCACTAAAATGGCAGCCTCTCATTATTATGTCTTTCTCCTCCCCCAGTAATCTCTAGTTGCACTTCCGTGTTTCTTCACATCACACATTCTTGAGTCCCAGTGAGAAAGGTGGACTATAAATAATGTAAATAAATAAACACATTGTGTGACTTTAACCTTGCTTCACATCATTGGCTGCCACTGCTAGAGGCAGGGAAATGCAAACTGGGTTATATTCAGATCACCGTGAGCAGCGCGAGAAAGTTGTAGAGCCGGACTTGCCTGCCTCTTCCCTCCTGCTGCCTCCCTGCTGCCACCTCCCCCCCCCCCCCGTTTCTGGAGCCACAGAACAGCACAGGGAGTCGGCGGTGAGAGGAGAGAAATGGCAAAAGTTGCATAAATACATAACCGAATTAAAGCAATAAATTAGATTTAGCAATGAGACTACAATAATTTATAGCATAAGTTATCCTTCAAAGCACAGATAAACAGGACAGGCTTTACCTGTTAACTAAAAGATGATAAAATAGGTGCCAGGGAAATTGGACTCGGGAGGTGATTCCATAAAGTTGCCACCCCAGAAAAAGTCCTTGTTCCATCTGAATGCAGAAAGATGCCTATGAAGGCTTCTGATGCAGTTCTTAAACTATGTTCATATAAGAACAAGCAGTCCTAGGGATTTAGAGGTCCAAAGCTGTTGAATTAGACATTTATTGTAATGCCTTGTTTCCTCTGAGGTAGGGAAAAGTTGACTTTGGGCTGCTGTTTTCATTTGCAGCCCCTGTGTTCTCCATAATGTTTAATGCTGCCTTGTGATTCAGCTGGAATTCAAACCTGAGTTTCCAGTAGTAATATTCAACAGAAGTATTCCTATTTGTGAAGACTCCCATTCCTGAAAACGTGCAAATGTGTTATTTTCTATATTAGCCTATGCTGTACATCTATGAAAATGTAACCGTGTGAACTCATGTCAAAGTTACTCCTCTTACATCAGCTTCCTTTCTGCCTTACCTTTCAGATACCAGTGTGAAGAAAGTTGAAGTGAAGAATATTCTGTGTACCAAAGTCTCCATGTCATTTTTTGACCGGTTATACTGTGAAGGGGTTGTTCGAGAAAATGGATTTATTGTCAAATGTTTTGATGAATACTGTGATGAGATTCTAATTGCTGATGAGCTAAGAAAGGTCAATACAGGGTTAAGCATAGTTTATTTTTCTGCCAGTGTCCACACATTGTTCAGCATTGCCTAATGATTTGCATTATCCATCTGCATTTTCCACTACTGTTTCTTAAAAGAGACAAAGGAAATTCCATCTTTACATAAGAACATAAGAACATAAGAGACGCCAATGTTGGATCAGGCCAAAGGCCCATCCAGTCCAACACTCTGTGTCACACAGTGGCCAGAAATACCAGTGCCATCAGGCGGTCCAGCAGTGGGGCCAGGACATTAGAAGCCCTCCCACTGTTGACCCCCCCCCAAGCACCAAGAAGACAGAGCATCACTTGCCCCAGAGCCCCTAGCTATACCTTGTGGCTAATAGCCACTGATGGACCTCTGCTCCATATGCTTATCTAATTCCCTTTTGAAGCGGTCCATGCTTGTAGCACCCACCACTTCCTGTGGCAGTGAATTCCATGTGTTAATCACTCTTTGGGTGAAGAAGTACTTCCTTTTATCCGTTCTAACCCGACCGCTCTGCAGTTTCATGGAGTGCCCACGAGTTCTTGTATTGTGAGAAAGGGAGAAAAGTACCTCTTTCTTTACCTGCTCTTTCCCATGCATAATCTTATAACTTTGCAACCAGCACCAGGTTTTCTTTACTCGGATTAAGTGTGTATCTTATTTCCACAAACACAGGGTTAAATCCAGCTGGCTTTTTTGCTCGGTCTGGCCCAGTTCTCCTCTGTTACTACAGACCTTGTCCAATATTACTTTTGTCCACACAAGTTCTATGATCCCCAGCATAGCCTTTTGGGTCAGTCAAAAGGGAACCCTCTTCCTTTTTTCAGCAGTGTAAAGGCTGGCTAAAGCAACCTAAGATCAACCTAAGAAATATTTGGGTTTCCTTTTCAAAAGACTACAGTTATAGATTGTTTTTAGGGTGGATCCAAAGGCTTCACTCTGCCAACATTAGAGCCATTCTTCACTGCAAGGAGCTTTTCATTACCAAGGAGCCTTCATTTGGTGGAAGAGGACTGTTTCTAGAGATGTGAAAGTCTGATATTCAGAAACCCAAAAGAAAAATCAAGAGGAAAAAAAAGTGTGTTTTCATCCCCCCCCTTAAAGACTTTCCATCGGGAAAAAAATGAAATTTTGGAAAGAACTGAAAAAAACTATTAACTGTTTTCTAATTTGGAATGGAGGAAATGCTTTTAAAGATGAGGTTTTACTCATTCAAAATGTGTAGTCTGAAGATCTTTACGTATGGCCTTGGATAATGATGATTCCTGTGTATACTTGTAGGCATAGTCTTTCAAGGATATATTTATTGTTAAAATGTGACTAATTTTGTCCACAATTAATATCCTACAAGTGGAGACTTGCAAGAAACTTGCGGGGAAGGTACATCCCATTCCCCCCCATTTTTGCTCCCTTCCCTCTCCACCCTTCTCAAATAGTCTTCCACCCCCTCTTTTTCCTCCTTCCCTTCCTTGACAATCTTACCCCATCTCTTTCTCTCCCCTTCTCTGTCAGTCTCCCCCTGTATTTCTCTCCCCACCTCTGCGGTACCCCACTGCTTACCACCCTCCACTGAGAAAATTGCCCACCTACACTCACTCTCTGTTTTCTATGAACTAGCCAGTTTTTGATCCATAAAAGGACTTGTCCTTCTATCCCATGATTTTTGAGCTTACTTAGGAGCCTTTGATGAGGAACTTTATCAAAAGCTTTCTGGAAGTCAAGGTAAATAATATCTATTGGATCCCCCTTGTCCACATGTTTGTTCACTTGTTTGTATACTTGTAGGCATCTTTGAAAAAGAGGGACGTAAATCAAAACACAGATATATTTAAGTTCACCAGGAAGAGGTCACTTTGCAACCAGCACCAGGTTTTCTTTACTCGGATTAAGTGTGTATCTTATTTCCACAAACACAGGGTTAAATCCAGCTGGCTTTTTTGCTCGGTCTGGCCCAGTTCTCCTCTGTTACTACAGACCTTGTCCAATATTACTTTTGTCCACACAAGTTCTATGATCCCCAGCATAGCCTTTTGGGTCAGTCAAAAGGGAACCCTCTTCCTTTTTTCAGCAGTGTAAAGGCTGGCTAAAGCAACCTAAGATCAACCTAAGAAATATTTGGGTTTCCTTTTCAAAAGACTACAGTTATAGATTGTTTTTAGGGTGGATCCAAAGGCTTCACTCTGCCAACATTAGAGCCATTCTTCACTGCAAGGAGCCTTTCATTACCAAGGAGCCTTCATTTGGTGGAAGAGGACTGTTTCTAGAGATGTGAAAGTCTGATATTCAGAAACCCAAAAGAAAAATCAAGAGGAAAAAAAAGTGTGTTTTCATCCCCCCCCTTAAAGACTTTCCATCGGGAAAAAAATGAAATTTTGGAAAGAACTGAAAAAACTATGAACTGTTTTCTAATTTGGAATGGAGGAAATGCTTTTAAAGATGAGGTTTTACTCATTCAAAATGTGTAGTCTGAAGATCTTTACGTATGGCCTTGGATAATGATGATTCCTGTGTATACTTGTAGGCATAGTCTTTCAAGGATATATTTATTGTTAAAATGTGACTAATTTTGTCCACAATTAATATCCTACAAGTGGAGACTTGCAAGAAACTTGCGGGGAAGGTACATCCCATTCCCCCCCATTTTTGCTCCCTTCCCTCTCCACCCTTCTCAAATAATATTCTACCCCCTCTTTTTCCTCCTTCCCTTCCCTGACAATCTTACCCCATCTCTTTCTCTCTCCTTCTCTGTCAATCTCCCCCTGTATTTCTCTCCCCACCTCTTCCCTGACAATTCTCTTCTTCCTATCCCTCTCTCTCTTTCCCCCCTTCCCTCTCCTCTTCAGCCGTAGCTGAAGTCTGGCCGATGAGAAACCAGGAGGGTGGAGTTTTAAAAGGAGAGCTGGGTCAGCAACTGCAGAGGCCTGCGAGTGTGCAAAGAGGCTGCTTCTCACCACCATCTCCCATCTCTGTAGCTGGCTGCTGGCTCAGCTCTCCCTTTAAAACTTTCTCCCACCTTCTAATCAGTCAGACTGTGGGGAAAAGCAGCATGAGAGCTGGGGGGGGGGAGGAAAAATCCTCCCCACCCCTAGCTCTTGTGCTGCTTCTCCCTGAAGTCTGACCGATTAGAAGCCAGGAGAAAATTTTAAAAGGGCAGCTGAGTTGACAGCTACAGAGGTGAGGATGAGAAGGAGTCTCCTTGCCCATGCATCTGTAGTCGCTTTCCACATGCTTCCCCCCCAAACTGCAATGTTGGGTATCCCAATCACCCACCTCCTTCTTTCCCCCCCTCCAGTAGAAGTGGCAGGGCCCCTGGCAGCCAGCAGGACCCTTTGGAGCTGCAGTGTTGGCAGCAGGGCCCCTGGCAGATGGCAGGGCCCTCCAGAGCTGCCACATTAGCAGCAGAGCCCCCTGGAGCCATGGTGGCAGCAGTGGTTGCAGCAAGACCCGTGGGAGCTGCCGCACCGGCTGCAGGGCCCCCTTGTGGTAAGTGCTCTGTGCGTGCACAGAGAACATTTTTGTTTTGGGGAAATTTAACACACACACACCCCCAAAATGTATTTTTTATGTTTTTGGATTTTTTCTGAAAATTTCGGGGTTTGTGTTTCCCCAAGTTTGGAGGAAAAACTCCTTTCTCTCAGTTTGGACCCAATCCACGGATTTAGGTATCCGTAGATCTGCCCACACTTGAGAAATAGATATATAGGTAGTGTTTATGATGATGATGATACTGTTCAGGAGTTCAACATTTTCAGTGCTATAGAATTTAACTCAATATCCAAATATTCTGGTAGTCCTATTGTGCCTATATGAGGCTTTCTTTTGGTCCAAATAACATTTTGTTTACTACAATTTTTTTTCTATTTTCAACATTTATTTTTTCTGCCTCGCAGATGGCAAAAACTAAGGTAAATGTGGTAGGGTAGCTTAGGGTGCAGCAGTTTGCAGCTCCCTCTCTCTCTGTACTTTAGGCTATATTCACAATTTTACTTGTATATCTTTAAGTTTCATAAAAATGCCAAACAATACAATGTTATATTCTCACTAAGGTATAGCTGATTCATTTTATGTTGTGAAAGCACTACTGTTAAGTTTAGATTTGATATGAAAGTAAATATTGTTGTGCAGTGTTCCTTTGTACAGAGCACGCTAATGTTTCAGAGGAGGGAGTAGAGCTATTAAGGCTAGATAGGTTAGTTCCTGTATCCTTCCCCTTGTCTGCTCTGCTACTATCTCTTGTTTTTACCCAGAACTGCTACTCTTAGAGGTTCCTTCCTTCCAACTAACTAATTCATCCTCTTCTTGCTTCTTTTTGTTTGACCCCCATGAGGATAAGACATGTTCTCGACAATCTCATTCCATCGTAGCTAGAGTTGCCAGGCTGTGCCTGACTACCAGTGGGAGACTTCGGGGAAGGGATATTTGGCTATGATGTCCTATGTGCCACTACATCAGTTCTGGGGAAAACCTGGAAGTGATGTAGGGTATCTCTAGGAATCGCTGGAAACTCTATGGTAAAATGTAGCTTAGCACACAGGATGCTGACGTTTTTCTCCTGGAGTGGTGGTAGGCAAGGATGGCTGCTGGTGGGAGGCCTCCTGCCATAGAGGGAAGCCAGGCAGTCCAGATACTAGTTTTGCTAGATAGTTAGAATCTTTCTATATTTTCTATCCAGTGTGGAATTCCTTTAGAATAAGGGACTTCTGTTTCTTTTTTTAAAGCAACAAACCTTGTGTGAACTTTATTCCTCAAGTAGCATCTGCCTCACACAGCAAAAACCAATTCCTCAAAAGCCCAACAAGTACTGCATATATTTCAATCCCCCGATCACAGTTTCAATTATTTTCCAGGAAAAAAATATTCATTTTTTTCCTGTTGCAAGGCTTCTTGCACCAGTTGCACACTCCACCATTAATGGAACGAAACCGAGGAGCTCTGTTGCTGATTGTGCCCTCACAATTGGGGTTGGATCCTGCAATTCTGATCCACTCACGAGGCTGCTTTCTTTGGTTTCAAGGAGGCTTTTTTCTGGATCAAAAGTCTGATACCTCATCAGATGGTCCTACTGCCTCAGGAAGAAGCTCCTTGCACTGGGGGCAAGCACCACCCCATTAACTAGAGAGGATCCAAGCCATGATCTGTATTCTTGTATGTTGCCTTGAGAGTCTTGTGAGACTGAATAGAACTTTGGTTTTTCAACAGATAAAATAATTATTTTTCTTATGCCTATTTTGAACATTGGAAATCTTGTCAATTGTTTTAAAGGTATAAAGCCTCCTGAAAACATATGCTTTCATTTCAAGTGCTTACCACAATTAATGTTCTTCGTTACACTTCTGCAGCAATGGACTGTACAACTCTTCTTTTTGTATGCTTCCATTCTGTGCCAGCATAGTCCAGTGATTAACACAGACTAGTCTCCACATTTAGACAGCTGTCTTCCTGAAGAACAAAATCTAAGCCATATGCTTAGGTCCGGGCCTGCCCTCTTCTGTCAATTTCTTCCTTCAATGGTGATTCCAACCCAAGTCATTTCCTTGACAGTGCTTATGATTTCACTGTGGAAACTGATGCCAAGTTAATCACATTAATTTGCCCAAAGGTTCCAGGTAGTGTGCCTTCACACATGTCTGGCAGCTCATATCTATTGGAATCAAATGGCTATATAAAAGATTTTTTTGATGAAAGGATAACTACATACAAATTGATTATCAGATGCATTGTATCTATTAATTTAAAAAAATGGGAGTGCAGAATTAATCAATTTTTATATTCAATGTAAGTCTTGAACTTTTTATACAGTCTCCATTTTATATTATATTATTTATTTTTCTCATTTGTATCCCGCCCTTCCCAATGGGCTCAGGGCGGCTAACAAGGGCAAGGTAATTAGCCATGCCATAATTAAAACATATAAAACAATAATAAAATATGTTATTTTCTTCTTTCCGGTCTCATAAAAGGTACTTCTTTTGGAAGATTCAGATCACTATGATTTATTCAGCCGTTTGGATCGTGAGGAGTTTCTCTTCTGTCTTTTTAAGCATCTTTGCCTTGGAGGAGCTCTTTGTCAATATGAAGATGATCTTGGTCCATACTTAGAAACAACAAAGGCTTTATATAAAGACCTAGTGAGGTAAACTTTTGTCCTGTTACGAATCTGATTTTCAGAAATGCATGCAGTTTCTGATTTCCAGGAATTGTGTGTGCATGCAAATATTAGCAAAACTGCATTTAAGTAGATTAGAGATTGCTTGGTTTAGTTCAGTTTGTAAGAAGGTATTTGAATTGGAACTTCAATGCCATACTTTGTCATCAGTAAAACATTTTCTTTCACTACTCTCTGCCCAATTTTCAAATAATTACTTAAGAAATAATGAAATAATTAGTGGCTTCTGTCTTGGTGTCATGCCTTGGGAGCTTTGAGCTCCATTATGAAATCTTAGATCTGACTAGAAATAAACAGAATTAGACTGAAAAGCAGTATTGTGTTGTATGTGTAAAGTGACATCAAGTTGCAATTGACCCCATAGATAGGGTTTTCAAGGCAAGAGACTAACGGAGGTAGTTTGCCATTGCCTGCTTCTGCATATCAACGCTGGATCTTCTTAGTAGTCTCCTATCCAAGTACTAACCAGGGCCGACACTCCTTAGCATTGAAATCTGACAAGATCAGGCTAGTCTGGGTACTGGCATATATATTGGCTTGAAGGACCAGGGTGATGTTGTGGTTACAGAGTCACACTAGAGCTGGGGAAACCTGGGTCCAAATCCCTATTCTGACATGAAGCCCACTTTTTAGGTCAGTTGTCTGACTGTCTCCCTCCCTCCCTCCCTCCCTCCCCCCCCTCTCTCTCTCTCACACACACACACATCCTAATCTACCTCTCAATGTAGTTGTGAGGATAAAATAGAAGAGAAGAGAACTATGTTGGCTCTAGCTCCTCGGAGCAAGAGTGGCATAGAAATTTACTACATAAATACTTAGACTGTCTTCCCTGCCATTACATAAGGGTCAGTATTGTCAGGCTCTGACAGTGTAATCCTAAACAGACTCTAGTGGACTTAAAAATGTGTAATTTTGTTTAGGATTGCACTGTGAGACAGCCACCAATGGGCAGCTAACGAGTTGGCCCAGCAAGGGCATGGAAGTTTGGCCAAAAAGCCGTCAGGGGTTTTCACCCCTCCATGTGGACCACAGGCTCTGTCCTTCCCTGCCCCAAAGAGAGCTGAGGGGCTGAGGACAAGGGTTTTTTTTAACCAGATGGAGAAACCTCCATACCTGCTTTCCCCCAATCTAATTAATTAATTCAGAGGTCCCCAACATTTCTGAACTGCCAGGCAACTTTGGAATTCTGACACAGGGGGATGGGTGCAACCACAAAATGGCTGCCACCGGAGGCAGAGCCAGTCACAGAACATCAGGAAATGGGATTATGCCTGACTCTAGTAGTAACGCTTCAAAATATCAGGCAGAGGATCTGCTTAACAGGGTGCCTTTTAAAATGAACATAACGTTTTTAAAGTATTTTCCTGCATAAGCACTACTTACTTGTGCTGTGGTGGCCACTACTGCTGAAGCAGCAGGGTTTTTTTTAATCTGCACAACCAATCAGATCTCCAGAGGCCAGTCAGAAGCCCTGCTGGACAAAAGTTCCACCTGGCCTTTCCTACTTTCAGAAAAAAAGCTGGTGGGTGTCAGGAAAATTGTCAGTGAGCACTCTGGCACCCATGGGTGCCCGGCCAGGGATCCCTGAATTAATTCATTCCATGTTCACCCTCTGCTTCCTCCCGCATTAGCCCACAAGGCAGTTTACAACACATTAATTACAGGTATGAATTAAAAATTTCATTTATGTCTTGGTTCCCCCCCCGCCCCGCCCCTTGCTGACCATTTCAGTCACTCTTTGAGATGCTTTTCTTCTCTGTTTCTTGATGCTGAAGTATGTATTCCTTTCAGCTATTCTTATTTCCCTTTCAGATCTAGTTTGATTTTGCATTCTATCATCCCTTAAGCTATCAGACTACTCAGTCACTTAGGGATTCTTCTTTCAGCCTTGGGATACCTATCTCAAACTATAAAATGTAAATTTTAACTCGTTTAGGTGTCTGCATTAAACACTGCTTTATGTTTTCTGTATTTCAGTGTTCAAACGGATCCTGAAACTAAAGAAATTAATATTATTTCTACTGTTTTGAAAGTCTCTGCTTATGTAAGTATCTCACTGGAGCAAAAGCATCAACTAAGCATATAATTAAACTATTGTTAGGTATCATTTTAAAGTAAAAGAAAGAACATTCACAGCAACTAATTTCAATAAGCAAATATGTTTTAAGGTTAAGCACTTTTAAATCTCATGTACTTAACATTGACTGGATCTTTTAATATTTTCTGTGAAGTTATTTTTGTGTCCTAGTTTTTTGGCAGATCAATTATTTTCCCCCTCTCATTATCTCCTTTGCGTTTTAAAATACTATTTCAACAATGGGAACACTGTTAGGATTTCTGTGCTTGAAGGCATAGTTGCCAAGGTTTCTCAGAGATCACAAACAAACCACAATTTGTTTTTGCCAGGAACAAAGGTGGTTTATTACTGTGCTCACCACTCCCTCCCTCCCTCCTTCCCTCTTTCACATGGTGTACCAAGATGGAGATGGACCCTGCCACGAATTTTGTTAGTCTTTAAGGTCTTACTGGACTCTTGTTCTTTCCATTTTTTTGTGACATCCAAGTCAAGTGTAGTTTGTTTCTTTCCCAGTCTAAGCCCCTTCGTTTCAGTGGGCTTTGGCTGGAGTAGTTCCACATAAGATTGCACTGTTAACAATAACTGAAACCTGTTTATGTGTCCTGGTTACTCAGAATGAAATGAATCTTGGTTTGCTAAGGCTCCGGCATTCAGACATCATGACATATTGGAGTTAGACCAAATATTTGTGCGCTGGGCAAGGGAAGAAGAGAGAGAGAGCCCAAGCCCAGCAATAAACAATGCTTGTGCCCACCATGAGCACACTCTGGTTTATTCATGATATCTGAATGCAGCCTAAGATACTAACAGTGCAGTCCTAAGAACAATTTCCTGGGTGTACATCCTGTTGGCCCTGACCTGGATAGCCCAGGCTAGCCCGGTCATCAGATCTTGGAAGCTAAGCAGGGTCAGCCCTGTCCAGTATTTAGATATGAGACCTCCAAGGAATACCAAGGTCGTGACACAGAGGTAGGCAGTGGCAATCCACCCCTGAATGTCTCTTGCCTTGAAAACCACATGGGGGTCACCATAGGCCAGCTGTGACTTGACAGCACTTTCCTCCACCGCCACCAAGTCCTATTGAGTAGACCCGAATAGGATTCTGAATAGACCTGCTTAGGGTTGCTCTCTAAGAATTACTCCAATCTAAGCCCATTGGTTTCAGTGAGCTTAGACAAGTAACTCTCCATAGGAGTGCATGTAAGGCACTTTAACCTAATAGTGTTCCGAATTTGACCGCCATTTTGACTTGACAGTAAGCTTGATCCCATACTGGTTTACTTGGATTAAATCTGAGGATTTATTCCCAGGTAAGGGCATATAGGACTGCACCCTGTGCTGATTAATGTGATGAATTTCTTTCCCAGTCTAAGCCCCTTCATTTCAGAGGGCTTTGGCTGGAGTAGTTCCGCATAAGATTGCACTGTTAACAATAACTGAAACCTGAATGAATTCTGACATAACAGGTTACACTCACAGAAGCACCTTCCAAAGTCCTTACATGGATTTATTTGGGTATTCTTGCAACAGATCAGAAATTCCATTGAAAGAAACAATTACATTTCTATGCAGTGTTATTTTCCTGCAATTTGTTGTTTTTACATGTTTGTTTTTCCTGCGGTCCTTGAATTGGTCTAGGGTAACCCAAAAGCTCTAGTCTTAATAGGAGTAGTCAGAGATACAAGTGAAAGAAAAGCTGTCTTGGTCATTCTAGCAGTTGAGAATCTAACCCTAGTTCCACTGTGAACCAGTTTAACAAATGGCAGTGTAATTGGTCTACTAACTTGATGATTCACTGCGTTGACAACTAACAAAACTCTCACAGATCTTTGCTACAGATGATCTAAGGAACTTATGCAGTTGCCCACAATGCAGTCCTGAGCAGCCTTCCATTGAAGTCATAGAAGGGTAATCAGTCTACCTAGGACTCCACTTTCAGTACCTTGCACTGACTAGCAGCTGCTCTCCAAGATCTCTGAGAGGTCTCTCTACCTGCCCTGTTCTGAGATCCTTGGTGTTATATCATGGTGTTAAATACTGGGTTCTAGACACATTGCAGTGACCAGCTCTAGTTTATTAAGTGATTTCAGCAAACTACAAGAACAGCTAGCAGGGCTTGAGCCCTCCTTATAAAGCACGCAGACACCACACCCAACACGCACTCACTCCCAGTGATAGACTATTTACATTACACCACTTATCTATTGGTTTGTTTCTGAATCCAGGCAAGCTATTGTTCTAGAGTAGCAAGCTCAACCCGTTCCTGGTACAGCTTGAGGAATGGCTTAGGCTCAATACATAACACATGGCAAGTTGTGGATTTGGTGATGTCCCCTTATTGAACTGTTTAGTTATTTTCCCCTGGTCCCTTAGGTAGTTTAGTTTCACTTTCCTGTGTTGGCTGTTATTTCGTGTTTCTAATAGAGGCCTGGAAAGGACCTGCTTTGTCCTAATAAATTTGCAATCATTTTGGCACAGTGTGTTTGTAGAATGATTACACTTACTATGGTTGAATCTCTAATCTGGTATGAAATTTAGAACATCTTCTGGCCTGAGAACTTGCTGGATGCTACTCCTATCATTGGGTGTGATTTGGATTATCACCATCATCTGTTGGTTTTTATCTGTAACTGTTGCTGTTTTAACCAGTCTTGTATTTTTAACTGTTTTATCTCTGTATTGTTTACATTATTTTAACCCTGTTAGCCGCCTTGAGCCAGTGTGTCCAGCAAGGCGGGATATAAATAGAAATAATACAATAAAAACAACAACAACAACAACAACAACAACAATAATAATAATAATCTTCTGTGGCCCTTGTGAGCTATGGTATCTCACTCTGAACAATCTGATTTTTTTTTTTGGGCCAGCCATTCCATATTCCAAATTATTCAGTAGCATGGATAGATGGTGGTTTGGGGGCCAGTGTCTCAAGAGAAAAAGTAAAAAAGAAAAACAAGGCCTTGGCTACTTTCTGGAAATTCTGACCATAGAGTTCCTGACGAATCCTTAGATGAGGCCTTATTTTTCTTTTTAATTTTTCTCCCCAGGATGATCGTGCCCCCCCCCCGGTCCCAGTTTCTGCCCACTAATCAGCTGAACATCAGCGGCAAGGGGTGCAATTGACTGGAGGTCTCCCTCCATAAGCGGGCTAATGGGAACCCTAATACCAAGTCAGATCCCTGGTCTACCTAGCCCAATAATTTTCACTTCAACTGACAACTATCCAAAGACTTACTTGCTTGTTCTACCCACGTTTTGTGACAGCCCAATTCATTATACGTAATGGTAATATTTCCCCGTGCTTTAAGGCGGCCAGGGAATTACTACCAGAGAGCCCCGGCCCATGAATAACTAAAGTTCCTGAATTTGACCCAATGGTAAATCAGTTGGAATGTCAGTTACTCAGCGATAGGAGTGGTTTTTAACAGTAGTCATAATAACTTGAGGCTCAAAGATTTCGCTGATATGAGATTTCAAAATAAAGAAAGGAGGCTGAAAGTGCTATCGAATGCCATCAAAGACTTTTCTTAAATGCTCATTTGGACTTTATCTGCAGAATTGCTTTTGGCAACACAGAGGTAAACAAATGCAGTTTCACCAAGGCAGATAATCTAGGCATGCTTATTCTGGAGTAAATTCTATTTAATTTTAGTAAAACATTCTTCTGATTGAATCTTCTTTGGAGGTTTTCAAACAGAGGCTAGATGGCCATCTGACAGTACTGCTGATTCTGTGAACTTAGGCGGATCATGAGAAGGGAGGGCAGGAATGGTTACCTCAGTGCTTAGTTCTTGTGGCTCTTTCTTACATGCCCAAGGAAATGCTGATTGCCACTTTGGGGTCAGGATGCAATTTTTCTCCAGCTCAGTTTGGCCAGGGATCCGGGGGGGGGGGCATTGCCCTCTTCTGGGCATAGAGCAGGGATCACTGTGGGTGTGGAGGGGGAGGTATTTGTGAATTTCCTGCATTGTGCAGGGAGTTGGACTAGATGACCCTGGAGGCCCCTTCCAACTCTATCACTGTATGATTCTATGATCAGGCTATAAACTATGTAATGCAAGCTAGTATAATTATACCAGTACTAAACCCTGGTACATAATACTGACTTGCCCTGTAAACATTTGTTGGAGGAGTTAATTGTGCAGTAGGCAATTCACGTCTTCTATAATCATCACTGGATTAAATGACATTTCTACAAAGCCCAGAGCTAAAATGGTCTGGCATTGGCGTCATTAAATCAGCTGAGTGTTGAACACTTAACACCTGTTAAAAGTTAAAAGCGACAGATAGTGGAACAGATACTATTCTTAACTAGTGTATACGGAATCTAAATACTGCTCTGAGGACGTAAATAGACATAGCCATTATCTTTAAACCGCTCAGATGAGAACTACATCTGAGATACCTAACTGACTCAGATGAGAACTACATCTGAGATTACCCAACAGACTTTCTGGAGGTTAAGATGGTGCATGTCTTGGATCAGTTCAGTTGTGGAAATACAGACATTTTGAATTTCACGCAGCACTTTCCCAAGCAAAACAGTTGGAAGCAGTCTGGTGGATATACCACTGAATGTAGACACATTGGGATCAGGCTTTATTATTATTAATCATGATCCTCAACACAGTCACCTATGAAGCATCTGCAGAATGCTTTACGATTGTTACGCTGCCCTTGAAACAACCTTATGGTGCCATCCTAAGTAGAGTTATACCTGTCTAAGCCCATTGACTTCAGTGGACTTAGAAGGGTGTAACTCAGTTTAGGATTGCACTGTTAGGATATGAAATTATTCCCATTTTACAGATGGGGAAGTCACTAGATCTCAGTTTACCATGGAATCAGAGGAAGAGTTGGTTTTCATATCCTGCTTTTCTCTACCCTACGGAGTCGCAAAGCGGCTTACAATCGTCTTTCCTCCCCCTTCCCACAACAGGCACCTTGTGAGGCAGGCGGGACTG